TGAACTCTTCACCCGTTGCTGTTCCTGTTACATCCTCAGTGAGCTCATGAGCAGTTCTGTTGCTCAGTGAAAGACTGACAGTGTCTTTGCCTTCTGTGGTGTGATGTGATCGCTCCTAATTGATTTTGGCCATGGACTCGCAGTGCGTGCTGGATATCTGGGAAGAGCAATAGCTTTAACATGCAATCATCCTGGGCAGTGACCAAGACAAGCCGTTCTCCAACAATCACTGGACACCTTCCTGCTGCAGCTCCAGTGCTCCAGCTTAGCTCATCATTTGGGTGTCTTTCCTTTGCAGCCTTGAAGCACCTGCTCGCTGGAAAAAAAGCCCCTCACCCCTGGCCATTCAACCTTGGATTTCAAGGCTTTGGACATTTGTGGTGAAATTGTGTATGTTTTTCTTTGGAAAAGCTAAATTTCTCCATTAATCTAGAAAATCTCTGTAAAACAGTACCTATGTGACAGACTTCGGAGGTGTGCAAGGACACAGCTGAGCTGCTGTGAACATTGGTGTGGGTGACACAGCACAAAAATAGCTCAAATCCTAGCAGAAAGACAGCCCTCTCCTCTGGTTCTGTGTTTCATCAGTATTTCCACCCCACTACATCCCAAAGCCTCTCCCTTGTCATCAAGTACTCTTCTATCTGGCCAGATCTCCTTCCAAGATGTACTTCTTGCAGTGTTGGACTTTCACAGTGAGACTGGTCACTAGAGATGTTTCACTTACTGTTCTATGAACAACCTTTCTCAGTTCGTGGCATCACCAGATTTTAGGACTTCTCAGGACAAGTTTCCCACTAGGATCTCAGTTGAGAGTCTGAACTGTTGCACTGAGAACAAGGGTAGATAACCTTACCTGGTTTTTGTTTTTTAATTACTGAAACCCAAAGCTCCTTTACCAGAATGGCAGATTCCCACCAAGACGTGGATTGATTTATAAACCAGTCCAGGTTCACACACCTACTCCTGGGAAGTCCCCTCCATCCTGCAGCTGTGCACAAAAAGGCAGCAGTGCCCTTAGCTTTTCACCATCTGCCTTTTAGCAGAGATTGTTTGCTGATTCCATGCACAATGTCCCTTTGGCCAACTTGAATCTGCTTCCACTTTCAGTCCCTGACAAGGACTTTTGATGTTGTATTCTCCATGCCTTGTGTGATTGAAAGCCCTCTCTCATATCCCTTCAGGGCAGTTATTCCTTTACTTCTCTTCCTCCTCCACAGCTTTCCCTTATGCCCTTCATGAGAAAGATGAATAGGACTGCACACAGAATCCCTACCCCAGGGATTTATATAATCACAGAGAATGTTTTCTGTGCTGTTTGTTATTTGCCTGTGATAAGTCCTACCTTTTGGTCTCTAGTGAACATTAAGCTGATGTTTGTAGAGGCTGATCCATAGTAAACTCTGTGCAGCTGTGATAACTGGATGTGCTTGTGGCTGGAGTCCCTTTCTCCTGTGTGATTTACCTTACGTTTGGCTAAATCCAATCTCATCTGCCATTTTCCTCACTATCCCCCCGGCACCAGGAGATCCTTCTACATCTCTCTGCAGTCAGCTTTAGCTCTAAATAATTAAGTATTATTAGCAAACATGATCACTTTCCCTGCCATACTCCTGAGTGTTCATAAAACACTCCTCTGTAAAATCCAAGTATTTCCTCCTGTCCTTTGTTTGCTATTATTACAAGTTTGTAATTGATGAAGAGTCTTTCCCTCCTAGGGAGGGGTCTTGTTAAAAGCCTTCTCACTCTGTCAGCCTTAGTGAAGGGTTGTGTGACACTTCAAATAGTTGTAATAGATTTGAGAGGTGTGATTTCTCCCTACAAATGCCACAGTAACTCCTCCCCAGTCTATCAGTTTCATCCAAGTGCCTACTAATTCTAACATTTCTGCCAGTCTGTCTGACAGAGAAGTCAGGCTTCCTGGTATATGAGTCCCAGGAGACATTTTAGGAACTGGTCACGTATTTACCACTATCCAAACTCCAGGAATACAGACTGATTTAAGCAAGAGGCTTCACACCACAGCCAGTTGTGCTGAACTTTCCTACCTAAGGAATATCAGAGCTTCTGGGAGAACAGCAGCTCATTCTGGCAAGTTATTGCTGCTCGTTCTCTCAGCTTGGTCTGATGGAGTTATCAAGGGTTAATGTGCCATCATCCATCAGGCAAGGTGGCTGCAGCCACGCCCTGTGACAAAGATAGGGGGGTTTAAGCCATTGCAGTTTATTTCACAGCAGAATTGGATAAGAAGACATATTTATTCCAGCTTTTCTGACAGGCAGTAACTGATTAGGTAGGACAATTCCTTTGCTTACAATTGTAAATCACTGTCCTTGGCACACAGGGTGTTCATATTCCAACTAGCTGGGAATTGCCCCAAAATATCATGGAATCACAGAATGGTTGGGTTGGAAGGAACCTTAAAGCCCATCTCGTTCCACCCCCCTGCCATGGGCAGGGACACCTTCCACTAGCCCAGGTTGCTCCAAGCCCCGTCCAGCCTGGCCTTGAACACTTCCAGGGATGGGGCAGCCACAGGTTCTCTGGGCAACCTGTGCCAGGGCCTCCCCACTCTCACAGGGAGGAATTTGTTTCCAGTGTTCAATCCAACCCTGTCCTCTGGCATTGGGAAACCATTCCCCCTTGTCCTGCCACTCCATGCCCTTGTCCAAAGTCTGTCTCCATCTCTCTTGAAGGCCCTTTAGGCACTGGCACCCTTAAGGTCATCCCAGAGCTTCTCTTTTCCGAGCTGAACAGTCCCAACTCTCTCAGCCACCAAGGGACTTTCAGCCTAAGGACTAGTTCAGGGCACAGGTGTTTTCCAAGGATGGGAGAGCTCTTTGCAACCCCCTGTCTTTGCTTTAAAGCCTGGATTTCAGACTTACAACCCCAGTCCCCCCAAGAAAACTGTGCTGTGACGGGATAAGCTGGGACTGAGGCTGCAGGAGTGAGAGGTTAAACAGCTCTTGAACTATACACAAGCTGAAAGAACTGCTGCTATGGTAACTCCTAGAAGAGTCAGCCCCAGCCCAAAGGGCTGATAATGAACCTGTGTACAAGCTGAACAAAGTGCTGACGCAGCCTTCGGTGGAGCAGCACTCCCAGCCCTGCTGTAACACAGGGCCAGGATGGAATTCCACTGTGATTGACACTGCCATCACATCATCTGTTACCGATCTCACTTTTCCTCCCTTCCTCTGCTTTTCACTTCAAGGGACAGGACCCGCAGCAGCACAGCCTGCAGAGCTCTCCTTCGATCTGTTTTCCATCTGAGCATCCTCCTCTGAGGGTTGATTCACGCTCGGTGACAGAAAGCACCGCCTCTTTGGGCTCTTCCAAGGAAACAGCATGAGAGAATTCTCTAATTCAGACTTTTTGGCAGGCTTGACATACTGTGCATTATAGTGTATATTTCTAGACAATGTCTTTGCCCTTTTGTGGTCATTCCAGAACAAACCGAGCTGCCTCCCTCACCATTTTGTATTTTTGCAAACTTTCAATGCCTTAGACCAAACAGAGGTTTGGAATAAATCAAACTTTGGTGGAATTATTTTAACATATGAACAGTAAACACTCCCCTTCTATTCCTGCTTTGCTACTAATTCACATCACAGTTACTCCAGGATTTTGCTACAGGAAAATACATTCCAGCATCAGACACAACAAATGAGATGCACAACTATAACCATGGCTGTTCTGTGTGTTTATGGGAGCCCTGCATCCGTCCCAGGCTTGGGTCTTTAAAACCTGAGCTGTAACGGTAGTGAAACATGAAACCAAAAGTGACTGACCCGGACTGGGATTTGGTTATACATGGGAAAGTCAGGCTAAGTTCACCTAGAGAGTTGTGAAGGTTCATGAACCTTGTCAGTGAGCAAAGGTCCAGTTCTGAACACGCCCAACCAAATGTTTTCCGGAAATTTTAAACAACTATGTGTCTGGGAACAGAGAGATCCTGTAAAATAAATAGTTTTGATAGGAAATACATTGGAGAGAGACCTGGTGGCTTCAACAATGTTTAGTGTTAATATGTTGAATGAACTGCACGTTCAAGCTCACACAGAGGCTGAGAAGTGTTAAATGAGTGGGAATGAACCACAAACTCCTCATTCCTGGGGCTCCGATTAAAATGTGTCACTTGAAGCTCTAGAGTTATAGAGACTTGTATTTTGCTTTATTGGATATCTGCACTGTGTCCGAAATGTGGATGTCTCTAGCTGGCTGAGACCTTTACATATTCAAAGCATTTCCTCATTTTCTCCTGAAAAGCCTCTCATGAATAATTTTTTTACTGTAAATTACCAGTCTGACATTTTTGCACCTCCTTTAGGCCGTGCTCAGCAAAATACATCCCAAATGCAGATGCAATAAAACAGAAGGTTCTGTAAGCACTACTGTTGACATCTGAAAAGCACAAACATTTCTGGGGAACAGGTCCTTAGGGACAGGTCCTATCAGGATTACAATACCCTAAAATAAAATCTGGGAATTCACTGCTGTAACAGGATTTCTCAGAGGCAAAGAAGTATGTCAGCAACTCGACAGTGGTTGGGGATTTTGCTTTGGGTCACGACTCCAGCTTTTTTTCTCCCAGATTTGACCAAAGGAAATGGAAAAGATTTGCAGTACAGCTAAAGACCAGCCACCAAATCTCTTGACTTCTCGTCTGGTATATAATCTTTAAATTTGAAAGGAACCAAAGCCACAGCTTCAGACTTCCATTACCACTACCAGGTTCCTAAAGCTGAGAGGAAAAATACAATAATGCATCTTTTAAAGGTCACATTGCTAATCCATAGTCTTATTAACATGCTTGTGGCAAACAAGCTGGTCTCAAGGTGACTCTGTTTTCCCTTACTGTGTGGGTTTGGGCAGCAGTGGTGATGCACAAACCTGCCCTGAGCTCCAAACAGGAGGTAAGGTGGTGGTCTTGGCCTCGTGACTGTCAGCAGCAGAGGAAAGTGGGTTTCATGATGGAGCCCTTTTGGTGATGAACCTACCTTTGGTACCTCTGGCTTGTGCCCCACCTGGCAGGTTCACTCCAGGGCAGAGCTCGTCTGGCAGCCTGAAAACAGAAAGGAGGAAAATTTCACAGCCAGAATTTTTTTTCCCCCTCAACAGTAAGACTAGAAATTTGCATTGCCTTCCCCTGATAAAACTCCCCAGCCTTACTGTGATGGGCAAAAGATTAGGAATTATGAGGCGGGATGATGGGGCACATGCCATAAACATCCTTTCCGCTGCCAGAGTACACACAGTAAAGCTTAATTTCCTGGTGCCATGCCCTGACTATAGTACACTGCCCAGATCTTCCTCCTGCTCCCAGCTGAGAGCCAAGTCATTCTATGGGATTATTTTGTTAAGAGCAAAGCCATTTGATCTGAGGAGATTTAGAATCAGATTATGGCCACAGCTTTTTTCTGGATCAGTGGCAGGGGAGGAAGAGGGCAGGAGTTGTGTGGTGATTTGTGTCAGAACCTGGAGCTTGGGAGACCCAGGTCCAGTCCTTACAATAAGCTCCCCACACATCTGGAGATAAGATACCTTCTCCTGCTGCTTCCACACTGAACCTCATAGGCAGGTTTTGACAGTGCTGCAGATTTAGGGAGAATTCCTGCTTTTCATTCACCACAGAATCAGAGAATGGTTTGGGTTGGAAAGGACCTTAAAGCTCATCTCATTCCAATTCCCTGCCATGGGCAGTTCCACCTTCCACTAGACCAGGTCACTCAGAGTTCCATCCAACATGGTCTTGAGCACTTCCAGGGATGGGGCAAATTGCTGCAGATTGTTCCTGCTGTCCTTTGTTTCCTGAATTGGTTAATGACAATGATTCTCCCCTGGACTCCTTAAATTGTGAGTACATCGGGGTTTTTGCACATTAATATTCACTTTACATACAGACAACTCTAACATGTGTAGGCAGTGGGAATAATCTCACAAATTTCATAGTGCCAGATTTCCCAGATCAGCCAGTTCCAGCCAGGGTGGTTTTTAACAACATCCTTTGGACTGTCACGTTGTTGGAAAGTGTTACCTGAACATTTCTAGTGAAATGTGTGGACACCTGTCTAAAAGGTGTGCAAAAGGGATTTGTACAGATGGGTGCTGTAGCTTTCCTGAGATAAGCATGGACAGGCTCTGCTCCTGAAAGCACTCTGTGACAACTCCTTGCCTACAAAAAAGGACTGTTGTTACCATATGCTTCCCCAGAACTGCTCTTCTGCCACACCTGTAGCTCCAGAGGGAAGAATGTTTGTCTCAGGGCTCTCTGTTGGGTTGACACCAACATAACCATCCGTGGTACCACTATAAAGTCTTTCTGTATTAAGTACAAGCTATTTTATAGAGAGAAGATCTCTTCAGAATTTCAGATTAGTGGGAGAAATAAAAGGTACCACACATCCCTTGCACCCCATGGGCTGAAAGTGCACCTGGAGTCCCCATCCCATCCCACTCCCCTCCAGTTTCCCAGCCTGTCTCTATTTCATACACCAAACCCAAAATATTCTGAATGTGAAGCACCTGGAGCAAACCACGACTCAAAGAACAGCAATAGAAACCATAATCATAAGTCCCATAACCCAAAGCAGCCATCATGGGATGCTCTGAATCTCTTCCAGCTTCATAAAACAATGGCAAAACCTCCTTTGATTGCTATGGGAGCAGGTTTTAGCTCTTTCTGAACCAATTAAGTACTTCTTTCTCCAGGGCCATGCCTTAGGGTTAATTCCTTGCAAAACACTGACAAAGCCGTATCCCTTTGAGGACAAAATGTAGTGGGTAAACTGTTGCCAAATCTGCTTAAATTTTTGTGTGTGCGGAACTATTAAACAGCAACAGGGCCCATCACATCCCAGGGTACACATCTACTGTGTAGAGCCCTGTGGCAGTGAGATGTAAAGCTTCATATTGGCTCATGGGGAGCTGTCTTTGAATCAGCAGCCTGATGCAACCCATGGACCAGCCCTGGGACAGTCAGCCTGCAGGGTTTTGTGGCCCTTCATTTAGAAACCACAGGACTACATCATAAAAATTACACAGTAATGTTGCTTAGACTGGAAAAGGAAAAAAGTTAATTTAAATAAAACATCATGGAATATAACTATAATTATCATGTTACCAAGCGTGTCTCCTCTTACACAGCCCTACCAGTTACAGGAAATACTGATCAACTTGAAAATACAAAACAACTGCTCTTAGAATTGGATATACTAGTGAATCTTTCCAGGTCCATGATGAACTCTTGGATGGCTAAAAAAGAAGTGAATATTGGGCACTGCACACATGCCATAGGTACAAATCACTAATGGTCAGAAACAGAACTGTGGTGAGATGGAGATGATTTTAAGCCTTGATTACAGGTTCTGTATTAATTCAGTGGATTTGCCAACACCTTGTGCCAAATGATAAAATTTTTACTGCTATTTATGAATTAGATCTGTATATTTCACTTACGGATAAACTTCACTGAGGTAACAATGGCCCCAGGCCTTCAGGTCCCCTATTGTTAGAGCAAAGCTAAAGGGCTGGCCAGGGAGATATCACAGGCTTTGATATCTGAGAGACTTGGCCAGGGCAAATATGATCTCTCGAGACACGTAAGGAGGCAGAGGCTGGTGGTCCTGAGCCTCCACTAGTTCTTTGGAAAAGGTAGAATGGAAAAGGTGGGATGCAGAGGCCACCACGTTAGCCCCCCCTGCCCACTGTGCTGCAGGAGTTATGACCTCTCTGGACTACAAGCAATGCCCTGGGGACTGTGGGTGTCATGTTGCTCAAAACTGGATGTTGAAGACTCTTGCTGAGGCAATTTATTGCCTTTCACAGAGGAAATGAGTACAAATTTGGCTGGGGACATAAATAAATATGAGATCATTTGCTTAGTGCTGGCTTATGTGATGAATGATTCGCGTTTAACTGTTTCCATCATCTGTTGTCCAAATCCTGGAGATAGTGTCCTTCTCCTGAGATCAACAGGAGCTGCAGGTGCTCTGCACCTCAAAACACTCACATTTCTTAGAGCCAAAATAAGCACTGGGCACTTCTCAACTGTCTTTTCCAGGATTTAGTGTTTGCAGCATTTGTTACCAAAAAATCAAACTGATCCTTGTTAAAGCCATGAGGCAATTCGTGGCTTGTCTTTTCCAAATTTCCATCCAGGCCATTTTTCACACTTATACTAAAATGTTCACTAAGTCTAAGCGTTTTGCACCAGATCTTTCTTTGTGCTTTGAAAGAAGCCTTTCAAAGTAACACTCAGTAGAAGAAATGACAGTGTGACTGTTTGAGATTCTGATTATTCAAAATGTTATCACAATGCACAGATCCCAATATTCAGCCTTATGTGTGGAGTTCTGACTGAAAGGATCTGACTGCAGTGGCGTGATTACGCACACAGCATTAATAAAAAGTAGAATATGGCTATAAATCAGAGTTTGCAGAGCACCCAATTAGCACTCCAAGTACAAAGTTTGGTTTCTACCATCAAAGCACTCTGTGAACAATAGAAGCCTGCACTGAAGTAGTTTGTGTTGTCAGATGGAGGGAAGATGTGGATGGTCTGGGGGAGGCTGACAGGAGGAAAGCTCTGAGCTCCCACAGATTTTGCAGGTTTAGCATAAATCTATGCAGCATGCCACTGACGACACACTGCCCACAAGCTTTGGAGCTAGGGACAATGTCACAAGCCATGGAGAGAACATTTCCAGGTCAAAAGCTTGTGACTGCCCCATGGATAGCTGGAGGAATGTTATAAGCTGGAGGCAACATGCTGGTTTGAAAGCTGTAGGCCTCTGTGTTTTGAAGGTGAGATATACCATGGAATCAACAGCTGCAGGAGCATCCTGGGCTTTTGAGTGTTTTATTTGAAGCTTCAATTCATCAAGTCATGTACCAAAGACCTATGGAAGGCAGACTGGGGCTCGGTGGAGCTTTTTAAGTTCCTTCATAGAAACACAGAATGGTTTGGGTTGGAAGTGACCTTAAAGGACATTTACTCCCAACTCCCTGCTCCAGACAGCTCCTGTGGCCCTGGACAGGGATACTTTCGTGGCAGTTCCTCCCGTCCTGTGCACCAGGAAGCTGAAAGAGAACAGTTTCCACTCTAGATTCAAGTCTTGGTGAACCTGATTCCCATGCCAGTCATGAGTTTCTAGGAATAATCTACACATACTGTGACAGCAGCTACGGGAATCACAGACTATTCCTGCATTCATCTCCAGGGTTTGTTCCAGCAGCCTTTGAGAATCAATGTCCCCAGAGAAAACTCAGGTAAAAAAGGCCAAGCAGAACATCAGACCTTGTCATTCCCTGGGGCTCTCCTGAGATCATCCTGTTCTGCATCTGTTTCTTTATCCCTGACTGCAGCCAACTTGACTAAACCATGAAGAGCTATGAGCTGTCTCTCCTCGTATTGTAGGGCCATTGGGCTCTGGAGCGTTGCTTCCTTGCAAGTGGATCTCCGTGCAGACAGTCTTGGGAGGAAAAACAGACCCAGCAATGGTTACCCCCCTCATCCTCTTTATGTCCATCCATACTCAGGTCTTTAAAAAAAACCCCCATGTTTGTTGTTGTTGTTGTTACAAGCACCTTGCTGACAATAAATCCTTTCTCATACATCCTTTTAATGCCAGCACCCTCAGGCAATGCCGAATGGAAGGAGTAAGGTTTTGGGCTCCATACCAAGAAATTCCTGTTTTCAAAAGGCCAGACACAACAGCTGGGAAATTTTTGGTTATTGCTGCTTTGTGTCAGCTCTTGCCCATTCCTGGAGGGGGGTGTAATTTCTGAAGCCTAACAGCATTTGAACCAGGCTGAGCAACCTTTGAATAATTTTTTGGCTGACATTTCACAGAGGCAGGAGTGTGTGTACTAACACAGAGCTATATGTGTATTTATAGCTGTCTATACACACATATGCCTGGGGGGGATAGGAAGGCGGGTAACTCAGCATGTCTAGCTTTCAAAATGCTGATTCAGGAGACTGGAAGCTGCCCCCAAGTTCTGCTGTTCTACCAGAGCCTGCCTAGTTTTCACCCCTAATCCAGAGGTGCCCAGGATATCTGT